CAGACCAGCAAACCTGGTTCCTTTTTTTTTTGTTAATGATTTTGAGTTTTGTTCCACATTGTTCTCCCACTCTATCCATGATCTCCTACGTAGATCCCCCTCCAAATGGTTGACAGTGGTAGTCGGGCACCATCTAGTTCTTCTGGTCTCATAGTTGTATAGGCTGAGGGTCGCATGGTGTACCAGCCACTTGGACTAATTGTTTCCATGTGTCTTTGGTTTCCTTCATTCTTCTTTGCTCTGGACGAGGAGAGATCCATCATTGCATCTAGATGGCCGCTTGCAAGCTTTTAAGATCCCAGTCACTAATCTGCATCTAATTAACATATTAGTCTGCATCTCATTTAGGAGGACCAGGTCCAGGTATTTCTGGGTTTTCACAGTGAAAAAGGAGATAGCCATGCAGCTTTGGAGAAAGCTCTTTCATGATCAGAAGCCATAGCCCCCTATGTTGTCTTCTCCACTGCCTAAGACCAGTGGGAGCATGTGGGGCTGCAAGGCCCAGGGTACACTGTATTTGGGAGCTGCGTCCTAGGGTTAGCACCATAGTAGAGCTGGCCTCAGCACTCTGAGGAGGAAGACATTCTGAAACTCTACAGTGGGTATCATGAGTGAAGAGATTTTCTCAGGGGTTCTACCATCTAAGTCCTTTGAGTTTTAGCTGGCATCAGTTGGGTGGTAATGAAAATCTCTGTGGTTTACCTGTTATCTATAAGAGGGCTGGGAAGAGATCTTAGCTAAGAAGTTTAGTTTTTACAGGTATAAAAATGTTTCGTGTCCCAGAGTATAACTGAGGTGGGACAGCATTTGAAGTATGTGAACATTATTTTAAAAAGTATTAAAATACCTTAATGTATCATATTTTCTTTTCCTTTGTGTAAAATTTTCATTATAGAAGTAAAAAGAAAAACAAACCTCTGATTTTATGTCTTGGAATAGTGCCTAGCACAAAGTGATGCTTGCTAAATGTTTATGGAATGAATGAATAAGGAGTAGACAAGGGATTCATGCTGTGCCTTTCCTCCTCTGTGTTCCCAGACAATAGCCAGGCAGTTGGCAGAGATCTTGTTGCGGGGCATGTGTGAACAGAGCTACTGGAGCCCCCTGGAGGACCCCCCGTGCCAGTCACCCCTGGATGACCCTCTTCGGAAAGGAGCAAACACAAAAACCTACACACTCACTCGGAGAGCCCGCGTCTACTCAGGAGAGAAGTACGGCCGTTGATGTCTCGTCTGTTGATTAGGGGACGGAAGGAGTCTTTGGGGACATTCAGAGATGACTAGAGTTTCCCCCTAAAAGAGGCAGCTGAACAAGTCTCATTTACCAATCAAGTTGGTTGAGAGACACCTCATTGGTTTTCATAACTTCAGCCAATATCTCTGCTCTAGTGGGGACACTTTAAGTGGGAAAATGCTCTCGTCTCAGTGCGTGGCTGCTGTTCTCAACAATCGTTATTGGTCTCTGGGATTCTCATTCCGCTGGATGTAAGAACCCCAGTTTATATAGCAGTTAGTCATGGAGCTATTCGCAAGCCAGAGCTAACAGTTTTTCTTTTCTTCACCAATCCCTTGATCCTCTTGTTTAAAACACTTGTTTTAAACTGAACTGGTTATAAGAAGGAAATAATTTGTAAGAGATTGTATAGTGATAACTCTTTAGAACTCTTTTGTTTGTTTGTTTGTTTAACTTCCAAATTTGGGACTTTAGGAAAATGGGCCAGAGGGCCAGCAGGGCCTCAGCCTGAGCCGAGGTCGGGAGGAGAGGAGTGATAGAGACCACAGTGAGGGCAGCGGTGGTTGGCTCATTGCTGGGTCGTCCTAGCAGAGCCTTTCATTCCCATCTCTGTTGCCACGAGGACAAGCCATCATGGCCTCTTCAGAATCTCCACACACAGGAAAAGGGGAACATGCGTGAATAAATACGAAAAACCTCTTGGGTGGTTATCAGAGGGGTCCGATGGCTGCAAGAGGACAGGCTGCTGCTCCCGAGAGAGACCTCAGGGAAAGGCACTGAGACGGGGTGCTGAGATACTTACTACACACGTGACAGCTGAAAACAATTGTCACATTTTCACAGGTGACACCACGTCTAAGTCAGCCACCTCCTAATCCTCCAGTCGACCCTGGCATTTCTCTCCCTTGTCATCTTGTTCAGTTTGCATTCCTTGCATATAGCAGACAAGTGAGTGTTTCTTAGCTTTCCCCCAGCCTGGTTTGATTTCATTTTTATCACCGTTGTTCATGGCTTTCTTGAGCCATACCTCTGCTTAAATCTTTATAGGAGCAGAGTGCCTCATCTTTCTCTTGCAGAGTGGCCAGTGGGTTTGAACCACTGATGTTTTGGTTAGCAGCGGAATGCTTTAACCACTGCACCGCTGGAGCAGCTACCTTAAAAATAGACCCGAGAGTTTTTAAGAGGAGGCCTCAGATGCTTCTTAATATCCAAGGTTCCAGGTGCACTGAGGAGCTCAGTCTCACTCTCCCCTCCTCCCACCAATCAGTTTGACATAGAGCTAGAGCGCCGGGCCTGTTTGATGCTGTTCTAATGTGGCCTCACCCTTTGAAGGCAGAGAAGGCCAACGTCTGGCCGCTGCTCTTTCATTTCCTGAACCACTCAGACTTTGCCACTTTCTAATAGCGGCCCCCTCATCTATGCTGGGAGAATTATGGAGGCAGAGTCCTATCTAGAAATTTCAGTCAGCAGGCAAGGAGCCATTCCCATTCCAGGACGGTTGCTGCACCACAAGTTTCATTTCACACAGATAGCCACTGTCAGTTGTTTTTCCCTCACACAGCGTTATTAAAATATAATTCTTATACCATGCACTTCTTCCACTTAAAGTGTACAGTTGAATAGTTTTCAGTATGTTCAGTGTTGTGCATCTGTTACTACAATCAATTTTAGAAAATTTTCATTACCCTAAAAAGAAACCCAGCACTCCTTACCCTCATTCCAGCTGCCCAATCCCCTCTATTTCCATATGAATTGACAATCAGCTTGTAAATTTCTACAAAAATTCAGCTGAGATTTTTATAAGTTTTGCATTGATCAATTTGGAGAGTATTGCCATCTTAGTGATATTAAGTCTTCTGATCCATGAACATGGGATGTTTTTCCATTTATCTATGTCTTCTTTAGTTTCTTTCAACAATGGTTTGTAATTTTCAGGGTATAAGGCTTGCACTTCATTTGTTAAAGTTATTCCTAAGTATTTTGTTCTTTTTTTCATGTCATTGTAAATGGAATTTTCTTATTTTCATTTTTAGTCTGCTCATTGCTATTATATATAGATGCGATTATTTTTGTGTGTTGATGTTTCCTGCAACCTTGCTGAAATTTATTAGTTCTACGGATTTTAGTGAATTCTTTAGGGTTTTCTGTATAAAAAGTTATGTCACTTGCAAGTAGAGATAGTTTTACTTTTTCCTTTCCAATATGGCTTTTATTTTATTTTCTTGCCTGATTGCATTGGCTGATTCATACATTGTTGAATAAAGGTGGTGAGGTCAGATGTCCTTGTCATGTGCCTGACATCGGGAGGAAGACAGCCAGTATTTTCACTACTAAGCATGTGTTAGCTGTAGGTTTTCGTCAGTGCCCTTTCTCCATTGAGAAAGTTTCATCCTACTCCTCATTTGTTGAGTGTTTTATCATAAAAGTGTATTGAATTTTGTAAAATGCCTTTTATGCATCTATTGAGATGATCTTATGGTTTTTATACTTTATCCTACTGATGGTGGTGTATTACATCAGTCGGTTTTCTGATGTGAAGGCAACCTTGCATTCCTGGCATAAATCCCACTTGGTCATGGTGTATAATCCTTTTTACATATTGCTGGATTTGATTTGCTGGTATTTTGTTGAAGATTTTGCACCTATATTCATCAGAGGTACTAGTGTGTAGTTTTCTTATGATGTGTTTTTCTGGCTTTGGCATCAGGGGTAATGGTTTTATAAGCAGTTTTTTTCAACCTATATCGACTGAGAAAAAGACAGGAATTGGGGAGAGGCCTAAGCTGTTCCCAGGTTGGGCCAGTCAATCCCCAATCATCAAGGGCCCCCTTAATGTTCTAATTTATATCCTTTCCCTTTCTTGGTACTCCCATCCTTCCATACCATCCTGGAACTGACAGTATTCCGCTTCAGTATGTTTAACAGGCAGTGTGACTTGGAGTGTGTGTGTGAGGGGGGATGTCAAGGCTTTCACTGTTTTTGGCTTTCATTCCTCAGCTCTTATGTGGTTCAGGGGCTTTATTTCTCTAGGAATTTCCCTAGTGATACCCCAGCCAGGCATTGTAAAGTTGGGCCTTGGAGTTAATGTTTTAATTATGAACAAATCAACCTTCCTGTGGGTTGGCAGTGCTCAAGGCTCTCTTTGCACCTAAACTGGGTCTGCTTTGACCCCTGGATTGTGTCATTGACTCTTAGAATCCCACTCCTCAATAGCCAGGGAAGAAAGAAGAGTTAAAATGCAGTTGGATGAAGTTGGCTTAATTTCTTTTGCGTGACTGTTTCTATCACATATGGATATTCCTGAAGTTGTTTTTTTTTTTTTTCCTATCTAGAGAAAATTTTAGAAAAAGCCATTATCTCGGAGCTCCAGCAAGACCATGTTCCTTATGTCCTCTAAAGCCAGATAATGTTTGAGTTGGTAAATTCAGCCAAAGTGGGAAAGGGGGCACCTTACCTAAAGGTTAGTAGCCTGGCTAGGATTAAACACAGCCTGTCCCTTCTTAGCCCAGTGCACTGTCACTGCCCCTCCCTGCTGGCCTGCCAGGGAGCTTGTCCTCACTGTCCACCAATGCCTGTGTTCTCCCTGCTCCCTTTAATTCCCTCTCTGCCCTGTAAGGAGCTTTCTGAGTCTGTTGTTGTAATTGTTTACCATTGAGTCAGACTCATGGCGACATGATGTATAACAGAATGAAACATTGCCAGGTCCTGTGCCATCTTTTAAGGAGCTCTGGTACTGTAGTGGTTAAGGTATGTGGCTACTAACCACAAGGTTGGTGGTTCGAACCCATCAGCTGCTCTGCAGAAGAAAGATGAAGCAGTCTGCTTCTGTAAAGATTTACAGCCTGGGAAACCCAATGAGGGTCACTATGAGTTGGAATCAACTCGATGGCAGTGAGTTTGGGTTTTGGTTTGGTGCCATCTTTTAGGGCCTTTGTTTTCCCACTCCTCAAGGCTTGGGTCGGCACTCCAGGATCTCCCACCACCCACCACTGAGGCTCTTGGGTTCCAAAAAGGAGAATATCACAAGAGGAAGGCCCCAAACAATTTTGACCCTCTACCCTGAGCTCCACACTCCCCTGAGCAGGGAAGAGAGACAAAATAGGTCTAGATAATTCGTAATTATTGAGAGAAGCATTCCAGTGTGTAGTTTTTCAGGCATGTCTCTTAAAACGACCCTCTCCTTCCCTTGCCTTCACTTCCTCCTCCTGCCAGCCCTGGGAGCTTTGCCATGTTCACGAGCACCCATCTTCCCTGCTGGGAAAGAGAGGATAGAGGAAGTGGATTTGGACTCAATTAGAGTGCAACTTGTTAGCAACTCTGGTAAAAATAACAGCCTAGCATTTAGGCCGGCTGGGTGGCTGAAATGGAGTTTGGGGATTATCCATGAACTGAATTGGCCGATGTGAAGTCACAGTTAGCAAGGATTCCTTTGCTTTTCCATTAGTCTGGACAATCTAGAACGGGCTCGCTTGAAGAAATGGTTAATGCACTGCTTTATTTGCAAGGTCCCAATTCCATGTCAGCACAAGCCAGGATATCAGGAAATGATGGTTAGATATATGCAAATGTATCATACTTTAACATACATAAATATATAGAGAGAAGATAGTTCTCTTTATGCATTATATCAGGCGATATATATGGCACCATATCAGACAGTGGTTCACTGCTGTTCTGAAAGTTTTCAGTGATATAATATATCCGACAGTGTTTCACTGCTACTCAAAAGGTTTTCAGGGGCTGATGTTTTCAAAAGTGGACGGCCCATCCGTCTTCCCAGTCTGTCTCAGTTTGGCAGCTCCACTGAAACGTGTCCACCATGGATGACCCTGCTGGTATTTGAAATGCCACTGTCATAGCTTCTAGCCTCAGGCTACCACAATATGACGATGAACAGATGAGTGCTGCTCTCCATATGCACACAACTCTTCATTCAGAGACTTTTAGGCTACCTTTCTGAACTTAAAGGGAAAGACTTGTGCCATCATCCAAGAAACCTGGGTCGCCTTAAGCTGACTCCTTAAAGAAGTCACTGCAACCCCCGAGTCTCGTGCCTCATCCTCGTCCCTGGCCTTGTCATCAGATGTGAGCCTAGGGAGGCATAGGGCCACCCCCAGGTGTTTCCTTACCTCTGGCCCTGCTGAGTTCAATGAAAGTACCAGGCCCTATATATATATATGTTGTTGTTGTTGTTGTTACGTGCCTTCGAGTCGGCCCCGACTCATAGCGACCCCTCCTTGGGTTTCTGAGGCAGTATCACTACGGAAGTAGGATTGCCCAACCTTCCTTCCGAGGATATATATATATATATATATATATATTTTTTTTTTTTTCCCCTTGCTCTTCCTTATCCTTTGATGAGTACAGAAATCCCCAGCTCTTCCTAGAGTATGAGTTTTTCTGATGATTTGGAATACATGTGTTTGCCATGTTCCTGGAAAATCATCCCATCCTTTAAATTGTTGTTGTTGTTAGGTGCTGTCAAGTTGGTTCTGATTCATGGCGACCCTGTGGACAACAGAACAGAACACTGCCTGGTCCTGCACCATCCTCACAATCCCTGCTGTGCTTGAGCCTCTGTACAGCCACTCGGTCAATGCATCCCATTGAGGTTCCCCCATTTTTTCTGACCCTCCACTTTCCCAAGCGTGATATCCTTCTCCAGGGAGTCGTCCCTTCTGACAACATGACCAAAGTAGGTGAGACAAAGTCTGGCCATTCTCGCTTCCAAGGAACATTCTGGCTGCACTTCCTCCAGGACAGATTTGTTTGTTCTTCTGGCAGTCCATGGTATTTTCAGCATCTTTGCCAACACCACAATTCAAAGGCATCAACTCTTCTTTGGTCTTCCTTATTCATTGTCCAGCTGTCACATGCATATGAGGCAATTGAAAATACCATGGCTTGGGTCAAGTGCACCCTAGTCTTCAGAGACATCTTTGGTCTTCAACACTTTAAAGTGGTCTTTTGCAGTACATTTGCCCAATGCAATATGTTGTCTGATTTCTTGATTGCTGTTTCCATAGATGTTGATTGTGGCTTCAAGTAACTTCAATCTTTTCTCTGTTTAATGTGATGCTGCTTATTGGTCCAGTTGTGAGGATTTTTGTTTTCTTTTTGTTGAGGTGTAATCGTCTGATCTTCACCAGTAAGTGCTTCAAGTTATCTTCACTTTCAGCAAGCCGGGTTGCATCATCTGCATATCACAGGTTTTTAATGAATCTTCCTCCAGTCCTGATGCTGTGTTCTTCTTCATATAGTCCAGCTTCTTGGCTTATTTGCTCAGCATACAGGTTGAATAAGTGTGGTGAAAGGATAACCCTGACACACCCCCTTCCTGATATTAAACCATGCACTATTCCCTTGTTCTGTTCAAACTACTGCCTCTTGGTCTATGCACAGGTTCCTCATGAGCACAATTAAGTGTTCTGGAGTTCCCATTATTCTCAGTGTTACCCAAAATTTGTTATGATCCACACAGTCAGATGCCTTTGCATAGTCAGTAAAATACAAGTCAACATCCTTCTTGTATTCTTTATTTTTCAGCTAAGATCCATCTGACATCAGCAATGATATCCTTCATTGCACTCCTCTTCTGAACCCAGCTTGCATTTCTGGATGTTCCCTGTGAATATACTGCTGCAACCTTTAGATTAAATAATTGTAATGTGGCCCCGGGGAAGATGGGAATGTAATGTTTCTCCAGTCATCTCCAGAATGCCAGGACTTTCTTAACCGTGTTCATTTTTAGGATATTCTAAACTCTAAGTGCTCAAAGCACAGAAAAATAGGATATAAAGAAGGAAGATTGGGGTATGTTTGGGCTTTCATTGCTCTGTAATTCAGAGCATCATTGAGTTTAAAGGCTGTTTTCTTTTAACCTAAGATTTTAGAGTTTAGCCAAATTAAAAAAAAAAATGAAGACAGCTCTTGCATGCCGCATAAAATGTGTACGTTAAAGTAATATAAACCTCACTAGAGAAATTTTTCAAACTCTAAAGTTACTTCTAATCTTTTATTTTGTGTAGATGACACTATAAGAGCTGTCAGTTAGCAGGTAGACAAGTACTGTTTAGTGTGACATCTGCAATTTCTCTCTCTTTCCATAATGAATTGAGGCTAGAGGTTGTATTGTGTAGATGGCATTTTATAGTGATGTAAATTTCTGTCTTTCTGATAGGCACACACAATGCTTGAGCTTCTAATTTGCTTTTTACATGTTTTTTTTTCACCCTTCTCCCTGCCATGAAAATGTATAACTAACAAGTATAAATTCCATCAATAGCCATAGAAATAAGCAAATTAATTCAAGTTTCCAGGTTATACAGTGTTTATCTGGGTTGTATATAAAAATCTAGACACTTTGCCCATTGATTCAGTTCTGTGCATAGTCATGTATTTTGTGTTATTTTGGAATTGCCATATATCAAAGGTGATTTTTTTTTTTTTGTGCAGCATTTTCTGTCCTCAAGAAAACACTGAGGAAGCCCTGTTGTTATTGCTGATCAGTGAATCAATGGTAAGTGGAATCGATTTTTAAGTTTTTCTTTCTCTTATCCTTGTAGTCTCTTTCTCAAAATGGTGACTCCATCAATATGGCTCTTGGGAGAAGATGACTTTCTAGAGGGGACCCCTGTGTGGGAAGGGATCCCTGTGTGGGAGAAACCAGTAGAGGTTCAGACAGAAGGCTGTTTTTCACTTCTTAGACTGGCAAGCAGTGTTCCTTGATTAGCCTGGCACCTTAAAAGGGGAGCAAGGCCCCCAGAGGGTAACCTTTACACAGCTTCTCAGTTTACATTGGTGGGAGGGAACATCGTGGAATCAGTCACTGGCTGTACATAACAGCATCTGGTTTTGATAGCTGGAGCTGATGGACCTGCCCCTCCTGCTGAGATGGTCTCTCTGAGCTCCCACCTGTGCTCCAGGTATTGCAGATTCTCAGGCTTTGAGAGCACACTCCCGTTACCTGGATCTGCTATTGTGAGGGAGCATTTGCCAGACCATCAGTTTCAAAGTTCCTTTGAAACTCTGTCTTAGTTTTTGGCCAGGACACCAGATTTCAGGTTTAAAATTCCATTGCTCATCATTTGTCAGGTTTTGGCTCTGCAGAGCACTAGCATTATGGCCTTGGCTTCGAACCTTTAATATGTGTTGTCATAGTTAATTCCTCAGTGACTGTACAGTCAGAGTGTGATGAGCACCTGAGCACAGGGGTGGCTCATGGAGCCCAGAAGGACCCTGAGAGACCTGAGACCCAGAGCAGGCAAAATGTACGTGCTGTGTGCTGGGCCATTGCTGGGTTTTGTGTACGTACTGTGTGCTGGGCCATTGCTGGTTTTGTGTACGTGCTGTGTGCTGGGCCAT